CATCTTGCCCCTCAGCTGCGATTGGATGAGGCACAGGAGGCCGAATGTCAGGTGCTAAAGATGCAGCTGCAGCAGGAGCTGGAGTTGCTAAATGCTTATCAGAGCAAGATCAAGATGCAGACGGATGCACAGCACGATCGTGAGAGGAAAGAGCTGGAGCAGAGGGTTTCGCTGCGGAGGGCTCTTCTTGAGCAGAAGGTAAGTTATCTGATACAAACCTCAGCAGCCCACTACTAGAAACCACGAGAGGAGGCATATTGTTTTAAAGAGTTTGAGTTTTTGACATTCCAGAATAAGAATTAAAGGTATAGCTCATACAAATTTGGAAGTTCTGTCATTTATGCTCCATTTATCTAGATTTTGAACTTCTTTTCAATGAAATATGAACTCTTGAAGCATCTCCAAATTATGGAAGGATGTTTAGCCTAATTTCACATCCAAAAAAGACATTTTTAGCCATTATGTTGACCCTCCAAATTTTTAGCTATTATGTTGACCCTGCTAATGTTGACATCCAAAAAAGACAGCCATTATGTTGACCCTCCAATTTTGAATTTGGATGCAGTATTGGAAAAATGTGGAGATTCCTCAAAAATGTGCATGCAGATTCAGAATGACGCAATTACTAGTTTAAGTTTAAGTATTTTGACTAAAGGCTGGAATACACCACACAACTTTCCAAACCTGAACACTACGCATCATACATTGCCGACTTTGTAAATTGTTAGAGAGAAAAACTGGGCATCATACACTAAACGAGTGATCACACACTACCAGACTTTCAAGTAGTCCAGATTCACAATCTCATGCAGAACTGCCTTGTTGCTAGGTGACAAATAAAAATAATGTTGTAAAATCTGCTCAAAATGTTGATCTCCTCCAACTAGATGGAATCATATTCTGAAGAAAAAAAATCAGTCTGTGCCCATTATATACTATGCAATTTTCTGTGAAATCTGTCAACTCTGACTGTCCAATATCTGTAGACTAGTGTTGTGGAAAATGTCTGTTTCACTCAAGTCACAGAATTCCAATGTCAAAGATCAGACTTTATTGCAGCAGTTAACAAAGCCGAGATGCCTGCAGAACATCTGACAATAACAGTCGCAGCTTCTACTTTTATACAGTTTATAACGAGTGATTCATCTTTAAACTCTTGCTACAATTATTTTGCAATCCTGTTGTTTTCTTTCTAAGGGTGAAGCACGTACTGCCAACATATGTGTTAGAGAGGCCCAGAGAAGCCTAAATGAAGCCTAAAGTTTGGTTTTATTCATGTAGTTCCCAGGATATTCTTCAATCATATCTTATATATATAATAAAAATATACCATACTACTAGCTCTGACTTTCATCAACTAGCATTGACTCTTCCATAGCTCAAATCTTGGCAAAAATCTGGTTGTGTGGTTTATTCTAGCCTTAACCAAAACTACAGTATCTTTGAAAAGGTAATGTATTCAACGGGAATGTTACTTGATTCTATTTGTTTTTTGGTTAGATTGAAGAGGAGATGGTTACCCTGCAAAATGAGCGTTCAGAGCGAATCCGCAGTCTATTAGAGAAGCAGGCCCGGGAGATTGAGGCGTTTGACTCTGAAAGCATGCGTCTGGGCTTCAGCAACATGGTGCTCTCTAGCCTGGCCTCATCCGACGGCCACAGCCACAGCTTTCCGGGGGCCCAGAGTAGCTGGAGCTCTCAGCACGGTGCAGGCTCTCAGGGGTCACACTGGGGAGGGCACCATAGCGGCAGCCAGCACGGCCACCACCACCACCCAAGCCACAGTGACTCTATCCAGCAGCCTTGGGGTCACGGCCTGCCTTCAGGGGGGCCACCTCCCTGGGGGCACCACATGTCTGGGGGCAGTCAGCGCTCAAGCGGGGGAAGTGGTGGGCTACGGAATAGTCCCCAGGCGGTACGGCGGGCCACCTCAGGGGGCCGCAGTGAGCAGGGGATGAGCAGGAGTGCCAGCATCGCCTCTCAGATTTCCAATGGCTCGCACTTGTCCTACACGTAAGACCACCCGCTGCTCTCCCACAACACCCATCTTGACCCAAAATGCCATAGGGGAAGGGACAAAGGGGCACCGTGGTCTTTGTTTGTTTTTTTTACACCCTTTCCTTTATTTCTAATTCTCTAAATACATATTTTATACACATGGTAAGCACAAAATGCATCCATTGTAGTTCAGGTTCTAAGAATGTCAGCCAGAAGGGCACTTAAAACATTCTGGACAGTTGTATCAAACTTCAGCCAGAATCCAGAATGTCATTTTCGCAATGATGTGAAAAAGTTTTGAATTCAGAGAAAATGCACTGCATTTTAGAGTGTGTTAATCTGATTTGAAAATGTTAGTGAGGGTGAGAACGAATATATGAATGCTGTGCATTGCCTCTCACAGGTGTGATTGTAAGTCTTTATGCAGTGGGTTTTATCATGGTCTTATTAACAGCTGGTTTCGGTTGTATACAGCAGGAGATGAATGCATATCATTTTCTCAGAAACATTGATTCATAAGAAAACAATTGCAGAAATATATATAAATAGATGGTATAACGGTTGGATAGCAGAATGTGAAAGAATCGAGCTTTACAATGCACTTGATTTTGTCTAGCTTAGTATTTTATAAACAACAAGCACTAATTTTAATGTGTTACTAAACACACTCTTTTTGTGCCAGAACAAATTTTAACTATGAAAAGATACTGTGAAATTCCAAGATTTTGTTAGAAATATTTTGATTATTGAATTATCGTGATTTTTTATTTTTTTTATGTTGCCATTGCCATCCTTTCACAGGTCCAAATAACCAAAAACTATGGAGAGCAGGATGCCATTTTGCTTTTAAAACTTTGAAAACATAGCCTAAAATTCTGATAGTAAGTGTATGAACAGATGTGTTCGATTGCTATAGGCCAAAGGGACATAAGTTATAAGGTAGGTGAGCGATATGTGACTATATTAATGTGGAGGTGTCTTGAACTGAATATGTAGAATGACACTTAAAAACAGGTTTTGCTATGTGAATGTACGTGAGTGTTAAAGCATGTTGTAAAACTTCACTCCTGAATAACAGTATGGCAGAAGCCGTTGAAGTATATTAATGTTCATTTTAGTCTTTTGATTTAGTGATGCCAAAGTTAACAATCGCAACTATGCAAAAGGATAATAGCCTGCCACATTCATGTCTTCTTTCACTAAGCTTAACATCACAGAAAAGCACTTTACCATCCTTTTCTACTCTTAGTTGCTCACTACAATCACATACAAGAAGATCTCCTGGTCCTTGGGTGCCCCCTCCTCCCCTTTTTCAGGCTGGGTTTGACAAGAGTGTGTTGTGTGGATTTTAGGGGTGGGGAGGTCTGGGTTGGGTAGGCTTGAGACCACTGAATGTTTTTGCGGGGGCGGGTGGGTGCCGCTGCTGTCGTCCCTGCAATGCCTTTGTTTCTTCCATGCCCACCCCAGAGCTCCAGCGACTGCCGCCCACCCTCCAACTGAACACTTATCAAAGCATGTAGAAAAAAGTGATTAAAAATGCAATGAAAAAAGGTCAGTTAGCATATTAAGCATTATGGTGGAAGGGTATACAGCCAGGAGACCGCTTTAAGTGAGATGTATAGGAAAACGTGTGTATATTGTATATTTAGAAATTTAAATAAATGAATAAATGGAAATCAATATAAAGACCCAAGTTTAAACTAGACTAAAATGTATTTGCTTGAATGTGAAGATTAAAAAAAAACTTGGTTTCTAATATTATTTAAAAAGAGAAAAAATTATATATATACACAAAGCATATTCTCAGAGGTGTCGAGCAAAGCCAAAAAATATATATATATTTCCCCTGAAATTACACTTATACAGAGGATGTCACTTTCCATAGTCCTCTCTGCTCCTTGCTCTCCTTGCTCTCCTTGCTTTCAAAGGTATGAATTACCATATTAGTGCCAGTACTCATGTTCTGTTATCTGTGAACCAGCAGTGAACTTAAATTTTATAAAATATAAAAGGCATAGGTTTTGTTTCATTCAAAAAAAAGAAAAGAAAAGAGAAACGTCTTCATAACTGCCATCATGCCTATTTCAGAATGGCTTCAAAAACATTTTTTCCAGGAAAATAAATTCCAGTTTGTAATATCAGTGCTATCTATAATAACCATCAGCTATGAACACTACTATTTTGGCACACTTCTGGTATATGCATGGGATTGCAGATTTCATGAAGTTGCCTATCTCAGTCTGACTAACTAAAACCAACTGAGCCAATGCAGGTGATGATCCTCACTGCAGAACACAAGATCCAGGGGGTGTGGTTGGATCCAGGTCCAACTCCTCCCACCTTATACCTAAACCTACCCATCTCCAACCCTTGATGTGGATCCAACCACGCCCCCTGGATCTTGTGTTCTGCAGTGATGGGCTACTGCAATGCAGAGCCAATCCTAAAGATTTGGGCCAAATGTAACAAATTAACATGAGATTATTGACCCGGGTAAATGACATATAACATGCCAATCATTTAATCACATTCAGTACTCTAATGGAATCACTGGACCAGAGGAACAGCCATAGACTCAAAATGTGAGTTTACACTCGCAAACAGGTTCATGCAGTATTTTCCAAAGGTGAGAGGTGTGCCCTGTTATAAGAGAGCAGATTTCTTTAGCTCATAGCATCCTTGTTTTAATTACCCTTTTAACAAGTGTGAAAACAACAGGATGAATAATAATCAAAGAAGGTGGTACAGTGTGTACAGTGTCTCTGTACAGTGTTTACCAGTATTTCGTCCTTTTTCTTTTGATGGTCGTTGTCTCATTTTCCTGCTTCAAAATTACAATAGCAATCCAAATATAACCTGTATTAAAATATATAGATTGTGAAAAACTGAATGTTGGAGAGATTACAAAAATTAAGGCTATTCATAACAAACACTTACAAGTGAATTAAAATATACAAAAATTATGAAAACCTAAGGGGACAAATGTAATGTTTTGTACAGTGTTTACCAGTATTTCGTCCTTTTTCTTTTGATGGTCGTTGTCTCATTTTCCTGCTTCAAAATTACAATAGCAATCCAAATATAACCTGTATTAAAATATATAGATTGTGAAAAACTGAATGTTGGAGAGATTACAAAAATTGTTAAGGCTATTCATAACAAACACTTACAAGTGAATTAAAATATACAAAAATTATGAAAACCTAAGGGGACAAATGTAATGTTTTGTTTGTAATTACTCCTTTTGTTGGCAGAGGGCTACTGGACAAACAAATCAACTGTAATAAAGTAATTTTAGTAAATTTTGGTTTTGTCATTTGTATACTTTAATACATTTGTCTGCTGTTAAATTCTAGGTGTAGTAAGTGTAAACTTTCCTGAACATCCTTTTCATGAGGATTGTTTTAATGATTCCTTTTGAACATGGTGCTTTTGAATTCAGACAATGGTTCCAAAATTTTGACAGAGCTCTTTATCTTTTGAGAAGAAAACTGTCTTGCACATAGAGAGTTCGACCAACTTGTTCCAACATAATTTTTACAAAAAATTGGCTAAATATAGCATCTAATGCTATAGGCCAAGCTGTCAACATAATTAAGCCCCTTGCCAGTCAGTAGATGTCCCTTTTGTCTATCAACATGGTCTTTCCATTTGGTTCCCTTTATCTTCCATGGTGTCCTCCTTACTAATTTCTGCAAAACTGTGGTTTCCTAACTAAGGGCACCTCATATTTCTGAAACATGTACTGGTAGGAATTTTAACACTGCCAATCTGCTATGACCTTATGGTACCACCTGCTTCTCTCACTCAGCGTGTGTAGGATCTATTCCAAGTAAAATCCTCCTGTTCCTCTTCAAATGTGAATTTGTCAGAGGGAGTTGAGATTTGCCGCCTTCGGATGGGTCTTTCTTTCCGGAGCAAGGTTGTTCTTCTTCTGGACAGCACAGCACTGGCGCTATGCCTCAGACTCTGGCTGCCACATTGTGCAATAACATCTTTGAAACCTTTCTTCTCCTCTACCCTGAAGAAATCGGGAACTACCCTAAAGTATTCCAGCACCACAGAATGACTCCAGGAAGTAGTACCTCCATGACCATCCTCAAGCATAAAGCTGCAGTGTCCTCCCTGTTGCGTCACAGCCAGCAGGAAGTAAGGGCTATTATGAAAAAGTCCCTCAGGTATAGTGGAGAGAGGTGGAAGAAGAGGGTCATCTTGGCTACACAAACAGAGCACTGGCACTGCCACTTCATCTGCATCTCGTAAAGGTTCATTCCTCTCCCAGTAACTTGGCCAGTCAGGCTTCACTGATAATCTTGAATTGTCCTTTCCAACATTGTCCACTGAGTCTGATATTCTTTGCTCCGACTGCTTAGGAGCACAGAACATGAGCTCTTCCATATCTCTCAAGGAGTTGCAATGTAGAATTTTTGCTACATCCATCACAGAGCTCAAAGCAGTGGCGTACCTGTGGAAAGGGTCAAATGTATCAATTTCATCTTTTGTATCAAAAGAGCTTGTAATCCTAGTTGCTTTTTTCAGGTAGTAGTTTTGCACTGTGGCATCTTGTGATGCCCTAACTTGGAATGCAGTTCTTGTATTATCCCATTCACAAGATTCAGTTGACCCAAAAATGAAAATGTAGTTATCATTTACTCACCCTCATGTCATTTCCAAGCCACAGACATTCTTTTGTGAAACAATATAATGCTGCCTATACAGTATACACTATACAACTCAATGTAGCCTGTGAAATATCTCTTGGCCATCAGGGACACATTAGCCGCATTTCCACTGTCGGGCCAAAAGCATTTCCACTGTCACTTCCAGGGCTTGATTGTGCCTCGTCGGTGCTTCCTCGGGGCCAACGGCCCGGGTTTTTTGGCCTGACGAAAACCTTGGGCCAAAGCGGGCCAGCTGGGGCTAGAGGAGTGGTTATGAACAAAGGCGAAGTTTCTGCGAGTCTGGAGAGCGTCAGCGCCATGGATGATTTCTTAATGTTAACAGCTATAACACCAACATTAAAGACTTTTAAAATAATTTTAGTTCAAAACTCACTTTCAGACAGCAGCTAGTGTTTGAAATAACTTGATCCGATGTGGATTATAGTGGAAGTAGTTATAAGCGATGCACAAGACTATGCACGCTAGCCATTAACGTTACCATAGTAAACATGGTAAATACGACCGCTTGAAGAAATCAGATGTCAGCTTCTTATTCTCTATCACAATCGTGTATTTATTTAGTAACACATTTTATCTGTCATAAGTCTTGTCTCGAGAGTTTAGCTCTGCGTATGTCATAAAAATATAATAATGGTTTTTATTCGGGAGCTTTTATAAAAATATAGAAATGATCATTCTTTCTAAATGTGATGTACAGTATATACTGTGACTACAAATAAACAGAAACAGACTCGATAAGTAGGTAGGCTATGTTCATACCGCTTTATTTCTGTGTGTTCTAATTTTCAATCTTGATAAATTAATTCATTATGATCAATGTATCACTTATTATTGTAAAATATCGATGCGTTTGGATTTAAATCTTTAACAAAGCATGCAAACAAATGGCCACTTTTATCATGTTCGTTTTGTGATCGTGCTAGTTCCAGTGACTTATTTATTATTAGTTTTCTGATAACTTCTCTTTGTTGGTGAAATGATGGGATTGCGTGACATTGTTCCTGAGTGGCGTGTAAAGGGTGGTTTTTAGTGAAGCGCAGTGGCGCTTCTGGCCTGACGGTGGAAACGCAGTGTGATTTTGGCCTCGGTGCTACAGGTCCAAGGCTATTAGCCCCACCCGGCCCGTTTAAAGCACTGGCTCGCACTGGCCCGACAGTGAAAAAGTGTCTATTGGCACTTTCAGGTCCTGTCTTTGAAAAGCTACACATAGTGATTGTTACTCATATAAAAGAACACCGAACCGCCTGCGATTAGAAAATCGGGACTAAAATTGTGTAGTTGGCAGCATAAAAGAACAGGGATGGATTGATGCTGTTGACCTTCAAAAATGGCCATAAAGCACCACAAAAGTCCATGTTGCTTGTGTGCCAAGTGATGGCAAGATTGAAATTAAGGCTTTTAAGTGCAAACTGTCAATTTTAGCACTGGACACAAGTTGCATAATCTAATTTAAATGTGGTTTCTTTCATTTGTCATTTTTGGGTGAACATTTCTTTAACCCAGGGGTCTCCAGACTTGGTCCTGGGGGGCCTGTGTCCTGCAGAGTTTAGCTCCAACTTGCCTCAACACACCTGCCTGTAAGTTTCAAGTATACCTAGCAAGACCTTGATTAGCTAGTTCAGGTGTCTTTGATTTAGGGTTGGAGCTAAACTCTGCAGGACACCGGCCCTGCAGGACCAAGTTTTGTGACCCCTGCTTTAACCCAAGGGTGTCCGATCCTGCTCCTGGAGGGCCACTGACCTGCAGAGTTTAGCTCCAACCTCCAGTTAAACACACCTGAACCAGCTAATCAAGGTCTTACTAGGCATACTAGAAACATCAAGGCAGGTATGTTGAGGTAAATTGAAGTGCAATCTGCCAGACAGTGGCACTCCAGAACCGAATTTGGATACCCTTGTTTTAATTTGTACTTCTATAGCAGTAGAGTTTGCAATCCATAACACTTTAGCATAGATCAGTCAACGTTTGTGAGGAATTTTCTACCTGTTTATTTGAAACTTGCGGTAGATGAGGGCTATCCACTGATGAAGCCAAGGTAGCTCATACTCAAACCACAGTTGTCCATGAAACACAGGAGAGATGCAAGCAGCGGCCGTCAGGTAGGATGAAGAGCCACATTCCCCCAAATAGGACAGCAGTAGCCCTGATCCCGAGCCCTCACTTACTGCAAGCAAAGTTGAGGATGGATGACGACTCTGCAAGTATGCTACTGCTTGTGCAAGGTCAGAAGTATTTCCAAACTCCTGGTAGTGTGGAGTAGTCAGTGGGCAGCCGCCATGACCACGTCGATGGAAAACCACTGGATAGAAACCCTGTTGCAAAGCCTTGTAGCACAACATGAGCAAGTGTGGTGTTACTCTGCCTAGGGCGTTGGGAATTATAACAACAATAGCAGGATTACTAGAGCCCAGAAATCTTCCTCCAGGATGATGATCCCTTTTGGCCTGAGCTTGTTGGTCCGTCAGACTCACAGCCCAATCCAGGGCCACAATACCCCCATCCTTTAGGAGAAGGTTATCCCGTGTAAAGCGGACTCCTCCTTGCAGTTCAGCACCTTCCTTTGTGGGCCACATGAGATTGGTAATTATCTGAAAATGAGGGTCGGCCTGAGGCCATTTTGCCAGAGGAGGCTGGGCCAAAGTATAGCAGTGTTTCTTCAGGTGGCTGGCAAGGGCCGTGGGTTTACAGATCAGTCTGACTTCTGCTTGGCATTCTTCTGTGGATCCTGATACTGTAAAGCATGGCAGTTTCAAGACTCTACAGGCCATAATCCACATACAGTGACCCAACTGCTGAACAGTACTATCTGCAAGATGACAGATCCAGTTCCATCGACGCAATATTGTAACCAGGACCAGCAGCAAAGAAGGTAACAGGCTGAGGAATAAGTCCCACATTGCTCTCAAATCGGTAACATATAGGTCTAACCAAGGGCACAAGGAACCTACCTTAACACTGAGGTTGGTAAGCAATGGTTTTCTCAAGCGAGCAAGTGGAAAAACTCAGATCTTTAAACCAAATAATCTGTTCTACTCTCACTAGCATGTCAGCCTAAATGGACTTGTACCTCCTCCCCTACCCATAGCAAACATCGCTGCTCCCCCTCTTTCAGAAATCATTAACAATACTTTAATCCACAGACTGTTGTTAGCTGCAGGAAAGCAGTCCAATAAAAGTCTAATAGCAGTCTAATGGAACTAATGGAGGGTTGGCCACTTGAAAGTCTAAGATTCAAGCCTTCTTTCCTTTACTGCCTTCAGAATACATTTCAAGTACTAGGTGGAACTCATTGAAAAGTGACCATTAACAGCTCGCCATCTGACTAGGTAAGAGACCTTGAGGATATTGCACCCAAATCAGTACCCTTTGTTCCTGGGTTGTTTATACAATAAAAATGTACTAGCTGTATGGTCCCATAACTAAAGATTGAACAGAGATACTGTTTGCTATGTGCCTAGAAATAAATTTGCAGATAGAGTAATTAACCATGGTGGATGTGTCTTGTGTGTCCATGCATTTTTATGAGCAAGTGACTGCATGCAACAATGGCAACTTTTTTTTTTGTACAAAAAGTTTTATTCAAACCATAATACTGACAAATTATCCTCTACATAAACGCAAAACAATGTCTTTGGTTTTAATATTTTGCTGTTTTTCATGTTTTTTTTAGAATAATATTTACATTTTGAAGTGTTAATTTCAGAAGCCAGTTTTAGTTGTGTTGGTCAAAGCTGGAAATGCAGAGGTTAGTAGCAATTTAAGAGTCAATAATGCAAGCACTCTTACAATGAGAGACAAATGAAGATGTTGTCTATGCAAACATCCTTTGCTCATTAGATTTACATTTGATATCTTTATACAAAGATTTTCCCATGAGCCACCTGCATCTGCCTTAAGGAATTTTTCTCCCAAAGATGAAAATTCTGTTCTCATTTATCTACATACGTTTTAATCTTATCTAGAATGTTCAAGCTGTTTTGTTTTCATGCAATGAAAGTGTTTTGATGCCGTCAAGTTTAAAGTAAAAAAAAAAACTAACTTGAAAACAAAAAAACGTATAAAAAAAAAGAAAAGATAACACTATTTTAAGGTGTCCTTGTTACACGTTACATGTCCTTACTATTATAATAACTATAACAATAAATTATGCATAATTACATGCAAGTAACACCAAGCCAAACCCTAATCTTAACCCTAACCATATTCTAAGTACATGTAGTTAATGTTACTCAGTACTTAAATGTATAATTACAATGCAACAAGGACACCTTAAAATAAAGTGTAACCAAAGTATAATACTAATACACACACACACACACGCACTATATGCCAAGTCTTCTGAAGCTATGTGGTCTATACATAGTTTTCTATGAAGAACAGACCAAAAGTAGTTATTTTTAATTCCTGCTGTAGATCTCAAATATAATATGTGCTTGTTTTGATTTAAAGCTGTTTAAATATGTGAAATATGTTGTGCAAGAACCAGTATCTTCCATGTCGCTGATGGCATGATGCATCTTGTGATGCCATGTTTGTTCCCCACAAAAAAAGCTATCATAAGTATTCAGAACATTTGGAATATAGCGCATGAGTCACACAGACCACTTTTGTTACTTTTTGGTGCTTTTTTTGTTGTTGTCATTTTTGGAGCTCCACAGCCCGAGTAATCAATCACATTCATTGTATGGAAAAGAGCAGCTTGGACATTTAGCAACAACTTTTATATTTTACCAAAAAACTAACTAAATAGTTTGGAACAATATGTGGGTCAGTATAACAAGAGTACATCATTTTTGGGTGAACTATTCCACTACGATAAAATGGCAATAAGTGATGTGCAGAACTCTCAAGCCGGATATACACTACACGATTTTAGGCCGTATTTTTATGGAGAGCACCAACAAGAAGATTTTTCTGGAGGTCAGCCTTAAATCTGAGGCAAATCGATGCTCGTTCACATGAGTGACTATCGTATAGTGTGAGGTCATATAGTGGAGAGAGACACAATTTGAGAAAAGCACTGATGCCCGAGAATTAATTAGCAGGCTAAATATCTGGGCCTGTCTGCCACTGTGAAATCTTGCAGTGCGAAATGTGTTTTGACTGGAAATGACATTAGCGATGACCAACAGCTAATGAAAGGAGAACAAGATATAGCGCAAGGGAAATATTGAGAAGTCTTCTTCTCAACCAGTCTCTTCTCCATATTCGTCTTTTTTCTGTTTTTGTAGATTGCAAGCTTCTTGTGGATAATCATTTTGATTTAAAGGAATACCAGTTCCACGCCAGAATTCTGTTCATGCATGATATGTGAGATCCTGCATCACTTCTCGCAAATGCATTTTGTAAATGAGAAATGGGGATTCTTCCGAGTGAAATTGTTTGATGTGTGGCCCACAGTCACCGATCCGTTGTGTTATGTGCAAAGCACAGCAACTTCATGATACCCAAAAAAGTTAGCGTAGTGTGAAAAGAACCGCACTTATTTCAAAATCGTGTAGTGTATTGACAGCATTACTGAGCTCGCTGCTGTCCTGACATATTATAGTCATGCCATAGATATTGCTTGTCCAGAGCTGACCAAATAAGAGCTACATATGCTACCATCTGATCCCAAATCCTGGTCTTTACAATGAGGTATGTTCACACAGAGACTACCAAAGACACGGTGACTGTTAACCACTACAGAAAACTGGAGCTACATTTCCTCTCTCATTCTTTGTCAGCATTGAATGGTAAAAAGCAGTAAGTACATTAAAGGATTTGTAAATCCTAAAATGAAGGTGGTTTAGCCTACCTTTTGCATAGCTGACATAAATTCTTCCTGAATGATTCCTTAAGCATTTAAGGAATATTGCTAATATTGTGTACTACTACACAATATTAACCATTTTTCTACAAAGCATCAGGATGAGCATTACAAGTGCCTTTGCCAAATTAAATCTCCTAATGATTCGAAATGTAACTACTGTATAGGTGATTTATTCACATTTAGAAAAAGCCTGTCAAGTCAAGTCAAGTGGCGGTACAGCCAGTTGAACTGCAGTTACGGGGTTGATAAAAGCTGGGGTGAGTTGATGTGGCTTGGCCTAGCTGTGCTCATACTTTAGTTGTGAGGAGTTAGCAGTGAATTGGGCAGTGTGCACAGGATGAGTTAGCTTTATTCAGACTGTGCCATTAGTGTATTTAGAGAGCTTATTCTCCAAGTCACAGATTCGTTTCTCCTGAGAAAGAACTGTGGCCTTCAGATTTTGGATCTCCTCAACAAGCTTCTCCAACAACTGAGGCTAGAGTTTAAAAGAGATTGAGAGAACGCAAAGGAGAAGATGGCAGTTGGAAAGAGGAAATAGAAGAGATAAGCATAGTGACAGTAGAAGGAGGATGAATAGGAGCAAAAAAGAGGGAAAAAAGCAAAAGAGCAAGTCAAGGACAGGCTTAATTTGGAAAATGGAAAGAAATGTTTAGCTTCTAGGGATGGGAATCAAAAGAAATTGGATGATTCTGATTCAGATTACACTTACATTGTAGTTTCCACAATTCAGTTCGTCAAATTTCAAAGTAACAAAAAAACTGATCCAAACAATATTAGGTAAAAGAGTCAGGTGTCACCGACTAACTGACTGATTCAGTGATAGAGTTGTGAATCATTTGTTATTTTGACAGTTTCATTAAAAATAACCTGTTCATTTAAGTCATTCATTTGTGATTTGAACTGATACACTGTTTTTTGTTCCATGGACAATGTATTAAAAAACTTTAATGATATAATTTAGTGGTGCTTGTTTCATCGTATCAGACATCAAGCTACAGCTAAAACATCCATCTTCCGTAGCATTATAGATTCAAAACCATTGAAAACTTTGATGGGATATGTTGTTATAATGTTATAATGTATTTTTTTGTTTGTTTATTTTTAAATGAACCCGATAAAATTCCCAGCCCTACTTGCTTCTTAAGAAATGTCAGAAATGGAGGTGATGAAGGAACAAAGTTATGAAGGAGACATTTTAAGACCAACGATAAGCAAGACATTCTACTTACGGGCAAACTACTTCCATCTACGGCAGACATGCTTCTACGTGTTGCAGGTCTGGTGTCTAGAACATTCTTCTTGGCCACCTTTAGCTCTCTACTCTTTGGAGGAACATAGCCATCCCTCATGGACACTAATATGGGGTCTGCGTCTCGTCTGTCCATCCATTCTTCAGGTTCCAGAGCCGGCTCTGGGCCTGGTGTGTCTGGGTACAGATCATCCTGGAACAGGTCCGACTGGCATCATAACAACAGAAAGAGAATGATGTAACTGGATGCACAGATTTTACATACAGTGGCATGCGAAAGTTTGGGAACTCCTTGCAGAATCTGTGAAAATGTGAATAATTTTAACAAAATAAGAGAGATCATACAAAAAGCATTTTGTTTTTTTTAGTACTGTCCTGAGTAATATGTTTTACATAAAATATGTCTACATATAGTCCACAAGACAAAACAAAATGCTGAAATGATTAAAATAACCCCCTTCAAAATTTTGGGAACCCTTGGTTCCCTTTCAGTCGGTCACTCCCGAGTCACGTTGGTGACCGATGAATTGGGATCTCATTTAGAGAGACCAATCCACTTCGAGTGAAAACTAAACGAGCCAATGCACATTGGCATGCGATGAATGCATTCAGCTGCTGCTGATCACAGCGTGAGCATAAAAAGGCAGCCGGTGCAACGCATACCAGCTTTTCGCTTCGGAGCCGAGCGACAACATCGTTCTGCTCCTACCAAACTGCTTCGTGTGTGACAAGTCTAGCGCGCTCTCGGGAGCTTTTTGTGTTGGCGGACGGCGCTTCAGCGGTGGTCGTTCCTGTGTCGAGTGGGTTGCGCACTTCAGGCTGCACTACCCCCTGTCGTGCTGCAAACGGCCGTTTCCCCTGTGCGTCTCAGCACGTAAAAGAGCATTTCCCTAAAAGAGCCAATTTCTCTAAATGAGTACAATAAGTGGGTGCGTCTTTGTAAAGATGCCAGATCGTCTTTTTACAGATGCCGTTTCACCCGTGCGTTTCTGGATGCAGTCGTTACCTGGCGCCGGGTGATGGTCACGATCTCTGCCTCACGTGTCTGGGCATTAAGCACGCTGAGGTGGCGTTCGCGGGTGAGTCATGTTCCCATTGCGGGAAGATGACCATCTCGGAGCTGCGGGCCAGGCTCCGTTTCCTCCAGGGGGCGGAGCTCCGTTGCCTCTGCCGCGATCTAGTGTTCGTCCTGGCGGCAGCCAGGCGTGGACTACTTCGGGCAGTTGCACGGGCGGTCTGAGGGTTACAGTGGTGGCAAACCCCTCAGGGAACCAACCCTCGGGGGCCCATCGCTCCTGTAGCGCTTCGCAACCAGTTGAGCCACCAAAGGAACACGCTGGGCCCTCTTCAAAGAGCGTAACAGCAGTATCCTTCGGTGCTTCTCCCGACGACTGGATGT